AACACACTGTGGGGTCAGCATCAGGACTAATGAATGGCTGGATTTTCTCATGACACAGGGAGACCATAGGGCCAAGATATGCCCACCTTAAGCATGAGCCCCTTCTTCTAGGCTACCTTTCAAAACAATAGTTTATGAACAAACAATCTGGATCACACTTCTGAGGTCCACACGAGCCTTTTTCTATATAGGATCCCCAAACTAGCATGTTGAGGTGCACTGTGTGAAGGCAGTCTTTATATTTTTCAATTGTTAATTCTGTACAGGCAGAGAGCTGAGAACTGGCCAGATTTGGGTATTGTTATTCTTATGGTTCATCACCTGCCTTGGTGTTTTGTAAACATACACCTTCCTCACTCACTGATTGGTTTAATAGACTTGACAGGTAGTAGCTAGGCAAGAAGGGAAAGGTGGACTTCAAGGCTGAGAGACAGTCTCTGGGTGATAAGCAGATGCTGTGAGATTTGGCTAGCCAGACATAGAGGAGATCGGACATACCTGAGGCCACGTGGCCTTAATTAGTCCAGTTTAATTAAGTGAGATGAGCTAGCTGGGATGTAGCTTAAGCTAAGGCCTAGCTATAATAAACTTACTAATTTTAAGTCTCTGTGCCATTATTCATCCACTGGCAGGTCCAAGAAATCCAGCTATACTAGCATACTTAGACCTGAGAATTAACTGGGAAACTGCCTCACTAGGAAGAGCAAGCTTAGATACACAGGGGGCTGAACCTTTTCCAAGGCAGGACAGAACTGTTAGGGGCAGGTACCTACTCTTATAAATGACCAGAGGGGCTGGAGAGATGGCTCAGTGGTTAAGAATACTGACTGCTCTTCCAGAGGTCCTGAGTTCAATTCCCAACAACAACAATGGTGGCTCACAACCATCTAGAATGGGATCCGATGTCATCAGAGCAACAGTGTACTCATATACATAACATAAATAAATAAATCTTTTTTTAAAAAAATGACCAGAACTTGCAGGTGGTGGTACATGCTTTTAATCTCAGTACTCTGGGGGAGACAGAGGCAGGCGAATGTGAGTTCAAGGCCATCCTGGTCAACAGAATAAGTTCCAGGACAGCCAAAGCTACAGAGAGAAACCCTGTCTCAAGGAAAAAACAAAGCAAAACAAAACCACAAGAAACTAACAGGGTGCTCCTACGAGCCTAGCTAAGCATGGTGTTGTGATACACCTCTGTAATCTCAGCACTTGAGGGGTGGAGCAAACAGCTCAGAAATACAAGGGCATCCTCAGCTATATAGTAAAAGCTCAAGGACAGCCAAGGACTCCTAGTCTCAAAAAAGAACAAGAAAGTTGTCTACAAGTTGATCCCAGTAGTATCTGATATATACTCATGAGACTATGGGCCTTAGTCAATAGCTCCTGAGCATAGCAGGGCAGGGCCCCTTACACAGAGAAAACAAAATGCTGACATTACAACTGCCATGACAGTGTGACCCCAACTCCATAAAACCATTACCTCCTCAGCCGGGAGTGGTGGCGCTCGGCTTTAATCCCAGCACTTGGGAGGCAGAGGCAGGTGGATTTCTGAGTTCGAGGCTGGCCTGGTCTACAGAGTGAGTTCCAGGACAGCCAGGACTATACAGAGAAATCCTGTCTCAAAAAACAAAACACAAAAAAACAAACAAACAAACAAACAAAAAAAACTATTACCTCCTCATAATCTCAGAAGCAGAGAATGTGAAACACAGGCTCAAAGTTCTTCAAAATTACCATTTATCAAATACACTCTCTTCAAACCAACTAAAAAGAAAAGCTATCTTCCTGAGAGGCTACACTGCAGGGATCAGTCCAAAGAGATCCATACACATAAACACTAAGATGTACAAGGACTATTCTAGGCCAGCATGGTTCACAATGGTAAAGGCTGGGAAACTAGACAGGTAGAAAGAGGGAAAACAGGCAAAATGAAAATATGACTTAAATAATCACAAAAAAGAAAGATCTGGTACAATTAGCAGTGAGAACAAAAGGAATTGTGTATAAGAACCAATCCTAGCAGTAGAGAGTGAAAACCTTCAAATACAAAAGGTTATCTGTAGCAAGATTCCTTTAATATAAAAAAAAAATCTAAATACACTGCTTAAAAATACACACATACAGGATAAGAGCCCAATAAGACTGAAGACCTATACTTCTGGCAGACAATTCCCTGGAGTCAGAGCACGAAACTTAGGAGGCAAAATGACACAACCTTCAACTTCCTAAGTTACTTGGTGGATTTAAATGTGTTTGTTTTAATACCTCTGTGTGTGTGTGTGTGTGTGTGTGTGTGTGTGTGTGTGCATCTGTGTCTGTGTGTTATGTATATGCACTGTGTGCATGTAGGAGCCTGAAGAACTCAGAAGAGGCCATCAGATTCCCTGAAACTGGAGTTACAGAGAGTTGAGACACCATGTAGGCGCTAGGAACTGAACCCAGGTCTTCTACAAAACCATGACTGTTCTTAACTGCTGAGCCACCTTACAACCTTTTATTTTCATTATAATGCATGACTTTTTCATGCATTTTTATTATTGTGTGTGTGTCTGTGTGAGAGAGAGAAAGAGAGAGAGAGAGAGAGAGAGAGAGAGAGAGAGAGAGAGAGAGAACATGCACCCATGCATGGAGGGAAGAAAACAACTTTCTCTTTCTACCATGTGGGTCCCAAATTGTCAGACCTGGGCAGCAAGTGCCTTTACCCGCTGAGCCATAATGCTGGGCTCAAACTGTACAGCTGTTTCCTTTTTTTTGAGGCAAGGTCTCCAGAGGCGTTAGAAGTGCTAGAAAGACAGGAAGACACAATCAGCCTGACAATTGGGATGTTTGTGTGAAGGTGGGTATTAAACCCAGAGCTAGCCACCTGCTAGGCAAACGGTCCACCACTGACTGATAAGGTGTGACTATTTGCCTTCATTATTCTGCATATTACATACACAGGGACATGCACTCCGTATTGGTATGTGAGCCTAGAAAGCAACAGCTCATTATGAAATAAGATGAGTAGCTACATAGTGTTCAAGGCTATATATGACACCACCAGACTCAAACAAAATAAAGATGGGTAGAAGATAGAAGCTTTCAAGTTTTAATGTCAAAGATGTACATCTCCGAGGTATCTAAACGCACTAATTACTGCTACTCAAACAATGATACAATCATACTGTGTTTTTTCTACTTTTTAAAACCAACCTGTAAACAAGGTTAAGACATTTAATTATGGCTTCTGTAGGACTCCCGAAGAGACTGGAGAACCCCCTCCCCTCAAGTCCTGGGAACCAGCGCTCACCCCAATGACCACTTGATGCAAGACAGCAAGAGGCTTTATTCAGGAGCCAGCACGCTGGGACTCATCTCATATCTCTCACAAGAGGAAAGGAGAGGCGAGACCTGGACATAAAATCACACAAGCTTATAAAGGCAAAAACCACAGGGGCTGGGGAATAGGGACTTCCTAGGCGGGAGTGCTCTGGATTGTGTCTCTTATTGGTACACACACAGCTGCAATTTTCAGAAATATTTTGTATGTTCTTGCCCTGGGGCCCTACCTCGGGAGTTCACGAGTTCAGGGCCCCATGTTATTCTGAGATACTGGTCAATTTAAAATTTTCTACTCTTACACTTCTAAATACACTGCCAATGTCACAAAACCTTACTTTGGTTTTTAGAACTTGTATAACTTCAGAATACATTGTTGTGAAATCTTATATTCAAAAACCACCATTCTTCAAACTAAATTGTTAATGCTATAAATTTTTATCTTAAAAGTAATTACAGGAACTGGGTGGCTCCCTGTGTTAAAAGTTCTTGCTATGCAAACGTGAGGACCTGAGTGTAAATCTTTAACCACGTAAAAAGCCAGGCATGGCTGCACGTAACTGCAATCCCAGCATTAGTGGGTCCCCCCTACCCCCACCCCGAGCTCACTTGACCGCTAGTCTAACCTTAAAGCAAAGCTTCCAGATCAGTCAGAGGCTTTCGGGCGCTGGCGGCTCCTGGGCGCGGGTCAAACGGCCGGAACCCGCCACCACCCCGGGGCCGGGGCCGGGGCCGGGGCCGGGCGGAGGGAGTGCGGGCGCGCGAGGAAAGGACCAGAGCCACTCCACAACAGCGCGGAGCCAAGCCTCGCCGCCACCCGGAGCTTTTTCGAAGGCTGGCGTCTCACCTGAGGCGGGCGCTAGTCTCAGTCGGATTCACAACGTGAAGATCCGCGCGCTTCTGGCCATCGACCAATCGCAGAAGGGGTCAAGAACCAATCAGACACCCTGATGGGCGGGCCTCGGTGAAAGCAAGCTGCTGAGCGCGGGCAAACGGTTGCTAGGGACGCACCGGACACTCACTACAGCGCCTCGGAGGAGCCAAAAGACACCGGTTTCTCCGGCCACCAACCCCACCACCATGCCAAGTGACTGCAGGTTACTCCTACAGCGGAACCGAGGACGGTGAGTGACGTGCAGCTCTCCTTTCGGCAGCCACATTCTCAAGGCGAGGACGATGAGCAGAAGCGGACGACATTGTGGTTCGCTGTGGGCTAGAGGCGGCGAACGTCCGCCCCAGAACCGGACCCCGGCCGCTCCGCCTTCTCCAAGCATCCGATAAAGGCGGCCCGTGGCACCCGAATACCGGCGCGCAGGCGCGGAACAAACTGGTCTTCCTTGCCTACCGGCTCACCGTGCAGACACACAGCAGTGAGGCTCCCAAAGTGGGGGAATGCAAGTCTAATCTGCTTCACCTGTGGCCTGTCGAGCTCTCCTGGCCGCAGTACTTCTACGCCTCCGAAGTCTGCACAGTGACTTGAGCGAATCTGCAAGCTTGAAGTGTCTCCCATGCTGCCTGATGACTTGCTGGGATGTCTGCTTTCACCGTGCTCGCCTAGACTCCACTCATTCATCAAACTCCTAACCCAGGTGGAGCCGGGGCCTTCGGGAACTACAATTCCCATGAAACACTGCGACGACGCAAGCGTGTCAGCTCGTGTTTCTATACTTTGTTCCATTGGCTGGCCGACTGGACCTGGAATCCTGATTGGCCCATGCCTGAGGCGACAGATTCCGGAAAGGGGAAGAGCAGCCAATATGGCGGCGGAGCGCGGCGCGGGGCAGCAACAGTCGCAGGAGATGATGGAGGGTGAGCGGCCCCTGTGGGCGACCGGGGAGCGGCGAGCTGGGAGCTGGGCGGGCACGGTCTCTTGCCGGATCGGAATTCGGCCTCCAGCCTCCAGCCACAGCCACGAAGCTCTGACAGCTGCCAACATGCCTGGACGGTGCCGGAGAGTCTCGGCGCCCAGGCGCCCCGGCCCGAGGGCGGCAGCGGCTAGGACCAGACCCCGGGGGACAACGTGGCGCGAGCCCGCCCAGGGGGATTGGCGAGGAAGCCGTGGCTATAGGAACCTAGTCTTAAAGCTCCGAGGTTGACAGGCAAGGGGGCAGGGAACTGTCCTCCATCAGCTCACTGGGAAACTGAGGCTTCAGGCGTGGGGACCTGTAAAGTTCCCGCGGCATTGATGGAAAAGAATCTGCTTTGGAAGCGAATGGGTTGTGGCAAAGAGATGAGTAGAAAGGAGGTTCGGAGATTGAATTTACAAGGCGTTGTCTTATTTTCAAGGCATTCAGTCTAGACTATATTCAACTCTTCCTTTTCTTCACTGTGTTGGATTATGTCATCATATACATATGTAAATATGTATGTTACACATGTGCATGCTTTTGTATACAGTTGTGTGGATATGTGGTCGTTACATGCATGCATATATGTATGTTTGTGTATACACACAGACTTGTACATATGTACATGTACGTAGCCTACCAGTTGTAGCATTAGGCAAATCTTAAATGCCTTTGGAAGACTCCACTATTTCAGTGAGGATTACTCACTTCTGGAAGATCACTCACTTTTCTGGGAGGAGTGCTAGGGCAGAGGGTTGCAGAGCAAGGGACAGGAATGTGGAAGAAAAGGCCGGTGAGTTTGAGAGCAATGATGCTGCCCTGAGATGGGCCCTGAAAACTCACTAGATGTCACTCAGACTGAGGTCAGATGGGGAGGACCAGTATCATTCCAGAGAAAGGAAGCCCAGTCAAAAGCAAAGGAGTATAGAAAAGTGACCTAAATTAACAGTCATGCAATGGGGGATTGAGAAGAGCCCGCAAGAAAAGCTCTTAGAGAGACTTGAAGGAGTCATGCTAGAGGCTTTTGTTTTTAACCTTTGAATCTTTTTGTTTGTTTGGTTGGTTTGGTTGTTTTTTGTTTGTTTTTTGAGACAGAGTTTCTCTGTGTAGTCCTGGCTGTCCTGGAACTCACTCTGTAGACCAGGCTGGCCTCGAACTCAGAAATCCGCCTGCCTCTGCCTCCCAAGTGCTGGGATTAAAGGTGTGCGCCACCACTGCCCGGCTTAACCTTTGAATCTTAATCAAAGAAATGCTTCTTCTTGTCCCCCTCTCCCCACTCCCCAGTACACCTCTTCCCTCCTTCCTCAGTAAAGGGCAGATACAGAAGCCAAGCCTTTACTCTCTTCCACCCCCACACATGTCATTACCAGCTGACCCTTGGGTTTCTATGGCCCTATGTCTTTTTGGAGATTGGGGGGGGGGGGGGTATTTGTTTTGGTTTTGGCTTGGTTTGGGTTTGTTGTTGTTTGTGCTTTGTTGTTTAAGACAGGCTCTCACTGTTCCCTGGCCTGTGTAAATCAGGCTGAGCATGTTTAAGACAGGCTCTCACCGTTCCCTGGTCTGTGTAAATCAGGCTAAGCATGTTTTGCCACCTTCTCTATCACTGGTAATACCTTAACTCAAGCCTTCCTCCTCTTGATAGATTTCATTGCCTTTTGCTAACCTATAATACCCAGAGCCCCACAGTCACATTCTTGCACGCTGTCGCAAGCTCTAGAACCTCTCAGCTGTCCTGAGGATAAAGGCGTAGGGTGTGCCTACTGTCCCTGGTATCCTCTGGCTCCTCCTGGGGGAGGTACAGAGACTGTAACATAGAACCTAGACTTAACCCTGGATCACAGACTGTTCAGTACCTCTTGGTAACTCATACATTCTTCTACATGTCATACTCATGAGCTACTTTTGTGCCCTTCTCATTTGGTCCTGATGGGGAGAGAGGTATTCTACTGTCTTCTACAGAGATGAATGCCAAAGCCACATTTCATTGTTGCTTTGTTCATAACTCAAAATCTGTTTATTTACTCCAAAAAACTTTTTGTTATTAACTCTGTCCTGTGGTTGTTTAACACCAGCAGTTTGCCTGCGATTTTTGAGATGTTCTCGTTTTCATTCTCTCCGACCACAGTCTGATCTTAGCTAGTCTTGATTGCTTTTGGAATGTGGGCCTGAAAATTGAACCAGTTTTCTTGGCCAAATGTTTAGTGAGACATCAGTGAAGGTGTGTGGCAGAAGGGTCTCGGTGAGACATGAGAGCCGCCTGGAAGGTCCTTCAGTAGCTGGTGCCATTAGTGACCCAATCGTAGATGATGCAGCTTTCAGAATAGGTGTCAATTCTCTACAGTCTCATAGAGGAAAAGGATGGCGTGTTACTTGTCTCCGTGTGGACTCCCAGTTCCTGTCTCTGTATCTTAAGTACTATTGGATGTAGAAGACATTCAAATGTTCATAAACTGAATTCAGCTGTTTTAGAAAAAAAAAGTCTTGCTGACTTACGACTGTTGTTAACTCTTCTGTGTTCAAACTGTCGAATGAAATATATGTGAATTGTCACTGATGTGTGTGGGTTCAGTTGACAGGCGGGTTGAATCTGAAGAATCAGGTGATGAGGAAGGGAAGAAGCATGGCGGTGGCATTGTGGCAGACCTCAGCGAGCAGAGCCTGAAGGATGGAGTAGAACGGGGCGCAGAAGACCCGGAAGGTACTGGGTTTAGTTAACCTTGAACTCACCCAGTAGGGCAAGTGTGCTGTGGAAGACTGCTGTTTCTTTGCATATGATGTCTCCTCACAGCAGAAGTTGTGTTCCTCAAAGGACCTCCATAGACTGGGCAAGTGGGTATGCTGGCAGCCTGTTCTCTGGGGTGCCGCCTCAGCAAATGACTGAGTTACATTTATGAGTGCAGAGGGTCCGCTTCTGCTGAAGAAACAGTTCCACTACTGGTGATATTGGCACTAGTGTGTCACCTAGAACAGAGCTAGAGAATGACTTGTTAACCCTTCCCTCATCAAAATTTGAAGAAAGCATGGTGGAGTAGTCCCATACTTCTGTATCCTGCCACAGTGACAAGGAATCATTTCTGATCCAACTTCAACATTTCTTCTTTGAGACAGGGTCTCACTTTGTAGCCCTGGTTAGCCTTGAAACCATTATATAGACCAGGCAGGCCTCGAACTCAGAGATCTGCCTGTCTCTGCCTCCTGAATTTAAGGGTGTGTGCCACCATGCCCACATCCACTTCAACATTTATACAGACCTGAGAATCCCCCTGTCACAAGCACAGATATCAGGATAGTCATTCCATTTGGAACTGAACAGCTTCCTATGGGGGTTTTATACCCTCCTTTCCTTAGTAATGGCCCGTGCTTATGTGTTTGCTTAGAAAATTAGTTTCCATGGAAAAGAATAAAACATGAACACAGAAAATTGTACTAGCTAAGTTGTTAGGTTCATGGGGAGATGCAAATTTCTAAGTATTATGCATCTTAGAATATAGTATTTAATTTAAAAATGAGTGTTTAGTTTTACCTGCTTAAAAAGAAGACACATTAGCATTGCTGAGGATCTCTTTTAACAACAGGCTTGAGAGGAAACTCTGCCTCTTACATTTTCCAGATCTGTATGGATTTATCAGGTATTCATAATTATGCATTACCTTTATAAAAATAAATTTGGAAAAACATAGCTACTTTTTAAAATAGCATTATGCATGGTGTGCCAGCAAAGATGATTGGTAACTATGGTAACCAAATTTTAAGGCAAAAAAAAGATTACCACAAAAGTACCTACCACAGTTAGTTTGGAACTTCAGAGCTGATGTCTGGAGATGACGTGGGTGGATAAAGCAAATGGGCTCTGTCACCATTTGACAGTCATGGAAGGGCTGAGATCTGTGCCACTGAAATATTAGGCAGTGCTGGAAGACTTGGAAGTTAGAACAATATGGTTCTGGGCTTTGTTTCCTGGCTAGCAATGTTATTGTGATGGGACAGTCATTGTAAGAGGACTCTAGTGTGTGATAAATGAGAAGAGGGAAAACACCATGCCAGCCAGAGAGCCCCACTGCAAGGCAGGCCAACTGGGCTAGAGCCCAGCTTACTTAAAGTCCACACTCGTAGCTCCTGGTGACTAGAACATGTAGTAACTCACTGGGAGTGTGAATTTCTAATCCTTAGAGAAACTGGAACTACTCATACTTATGTTTACCTAAGTCTCAGCAAAATGAATTTAAATGTCAGTCATTACTTTCCTGTATTTCTTAACCTTGTGTGTGTGTATGTGTACCAGTTAACATTTGTGAAGTGTATGTGTGTGCAGGAATGTATGTATTTATGCACGTAGATGGCAGAAGACAGTCTCGGGTATTGTTCCTTGGGCACTGTTTATCTTGGCTCTTACTGGCCTGGAAATTGCCATTTAGGCTGAACTGACTGCAGCAAGCCAGCATACTTCCTCTTCTCAGGTGCTGGGATTACAGGTGCACCACTGTGCTCAGTGTTTTCTGTGGGTTCCAGAGCTCGAACTCGAACTCACTCCTGTGCTTGTACAAACACTTCACCAACTAAGCTGTCGCCCTACCCACCTACCCCAACACCAGGTTGGTTGGTTGGTTGGTTGGTTGGTTGGTTTTTTAATGTTAGGGATTGAACCCAGGGCCTTAAGCACTCTACAGCTGAGTTATGTCTCCAACTCCCTAGTTTAAAAAAACACAACTGTGATACATTCAGAAGTTCCAATTGGTAACCTTGTTCTGGGTTAAGCTGGTATTTCAACAGGAAACTTTGGGCTGTGGACCACATATTCTGAGGAGCCTAGGATAGCCCCAGTTCCGTCTTCTGGCCCAGTGCCACTGTCAATTGTGCCTACATTTAGTCTCACAGAGTCTAACTTGGACAGGAGTGACCTGAGTACCTTGCCTTCATTGTGATGCTTCTCCTTCAGAGCTTTGAGCTTGTGGACAGTGAGCTACTGCTGTCTTTTGAGGCTAAGGAGACTCTTGTAATGTCTTCTTGGTTTTATCTAGTTCCTTTTATTTAACACCAGATTGATTGGTATCCTATAAATTATGGGTAAATTATAAAAAACAATGTATTTTAATTGGGTACTGTTGATTATTGCAGAAGAGACATCATGGACAGTCAGTGAAGTGAATTCGGCCTTGTAGGGCAGGTTTTCCTTTGTCAGGTTGGTCCCCTGGTGCATGTTCCTCTCTGAGACCTTCGATGAAGAAGCAAGCTGACCAGCATATAGTCTGCTAATGTTTGCAGGAGCCAGACATGGGCTGGTGTGTCAGGGTGTGTGATGTGTCAGGGTGTGTGATGTGTCAGGATGTGTGGTGTGTCGGTGCGTGGTGTGTCAGGGTGCGTGGTGTGTCAGGGTGCGTGGTGTGTCAGGGTG